ATAACAGCCCTGCAGGATCAAATCAAAGGTCCCTGTAGTCCAGCATTACAGTCTCAACAGCAGTCAAGCAGATGTGTTCAAAAACTTCTCCAGCAGGACAGGAAGACAGCAGCCCTCCTCTGAGGTTCGTACCCAGCACCTGGCCCTGGAGGCATACTGCTTCTGAGCTAAGAGGGTCTGTTTAAGTATTGTGGCTGCTGAAAAAACTGTTGATGTTATTTTATTTGTACAATACTTAAATTAAGTAGACACTTTACAGAGAATCTAAAAAGAGAGGGCTCTGCTTAAAGGCTCAGAATATAAGTAGAGATGAGACACAGTATGAAGGAGGGTGCAATAGACAAGTATCTGCAGTATAATACACCCCCAAGAGTTTACGTAGTCCTTGTTCCTCTCTGTGAATCCATAAAAGTAATCTGAACTGTTGGTCATCACCATACCTCATGATATCATGTTAATCATGAGTAATGTGAAGTATTTTCTTTGCTTATCCTGAAATTGTTCTTGGATTATATAGATGTATTATGAGGCTATACTTTGACTACAGAGTGTGATCTGGAATCAAAACAATGCACATGTGTGGTAAATTAAAGATGCTTTAATGTGCTTTGTGTAATCAGGCCCATTGACAACACATGCTGATATGTAACGGGTTTCTTTTCTACCCATTTAGTGGATATTATTACATAGACTAAGCTCTTGCCAGTGGTTTTGCACTTTTTTGTCATTTGTGGTTAAAATATGCAGTCTTAAATTGTATTTGAATAGGTAAAATCCCAGAAAATTTTACATGATGATCACTATGCCACACCTGTCTGCTTGCAGCAGCACTTCACTGTATGAGGTGAAAAGTGGTGGTTCTTTGTGTGCACTGCCATTTCCATCTAAGCTGTGCCAGAGCTGACACTAACAGAATTATCTATAGCAATAATACCTAGAGAATAGTAGACTTCCCTTCTGCTCCATATACCTGGGTTTGTTTCTAATACCCTGCCTTCCATCTCAGTATTTTTGCTGCTTCTGTAATTACTTATTTCTAAAAACAGAAGAGTCATTCTGAATCCTACCAGGCTGGGATTTATGCCTGCTGACCCGGAAGCCCTGACCTCTAATCCCAGCTGTGAAAAAGTTATGGCTATTAAGTTGAGAAAGCAACTCTGTGCATACTCAGAGGTACCATCGTCTTGATTAATCCTCGTATTTCAGGCCTCATACTGTCATTTAAAAGATGTTGCAGGATCAGTGTTTGCTAAATTCTAGGTCAGATTCAGCACTATATTTGTTA